CAGTTCTCCCTTATCCATGGGGAATATGTTCTAAGACCCCCCAGTGGATATTGGAAACCACAGATAGTACCAAACCCTATATGTATTCTGTGTTTTCTCCTATACATACATACCTATGATAAAGTTTAATTTGGCACAGTAAAAGACTAACAATGACTCATAATAAAAATACAACAATTTTAACAATATACTGTTCACAATGTCACAGACAGAAGATATGTTGTTAGCAATCTCAGCATATAATTTTTTTTTCATTTTTTTGAGAACTTAAACCTTTTTGCTTAAAAGAAGCATTTTATGGCTTCTTTGGCATAGCCAAAATGCAGGCATCACAACTCCTGTGCTTTGGGGCCATTTTTAGGTAAAATAAAGGTCACCTGAACAAAAGCACTGCGATACCATGACTATTGGACTGATGATAGAGCAGCTACTTATGCTGACGGCGTGGATAGCAAAACAAAAGGAGAATTCATGTCCTGGGTGGAAAAGAGTAAGATTTCATCACGCTACTAACAACAGAGTTTAATTTAAAATTCACGAATTATTTTTGGAATCTTCCATTTAATATTTTCAGACTCTAGTTCAGTGCAGGTGACTGAAACCTTGGAAAGAAACACTGTGGATGAGGGTAGGCTACCATATCTGACAGGGTGGGAGGATGAAAGGCATGACTAGGACACCTGGAAGTGTTTGCTTAATTACAGGCAGTAAGAAAAACTGAGTGAGGGGAGAAAAGGAAATTTCATAACTGCAACAATCAAGGCTGAGTTACATTTAAGAAGCTCTGCCACAGTTCCGTGGTAGCTGACCGGAATTATTCACAATACAAAATTCCACCGCATATTCTTGGGATCATACAAATAAGTGTGATCATAAAATATGTTACTACATGAAATCACATCCTCATTTAGTTTCTAAATGGACAGGTGCCCTCTGATTACCTAGGTCTTTCATCAAAATGGCCTTGTAGTATTTCTTCTGCAATGCTGACATGCCGTGGTATATCACTACTTCTGTCTTCTTGGGAAGCTCTGTAGCTACCTCAGCTTTCACTCGCCTCAGCAGAAATGGCTGCAAGAGTTTGTGCAGTTCACTAGCTATATGACAAAAAAAAAAAATACAAGAAGCATGGGACAAACGTAGAACCAAGGCAATGAACTACTAGAGAACTTAAAGGAGTTTATTTTTGTTTCTTATTTCACGCTTATTCTGCACTTGGCCAGATGGGCATTTTTCATAATATTTCTTCCTTCACTAGGATCTTCTTCCCAATTATTTCTGGAATCATTACTGGTTCTTAACCCAAGAACTAGGAACACCCAAAGAACTTGATTCTTACTAATCTCATATGAACAAAGCTCTTGTTTCCAGAGTATTTTTGCATTTAATCTTATTGATCAGCATAACAGCTTAGAAATTTCAGGTGAGAGAAATACTGTCTCCATTTTTATAGCTGAGTTAAATGAGGCTCAGAAATGAGGCAACTTATCTGAAGTCACACAGCTGGGATGTGAATGTGGCCAGCATTCAAATTTGGTTTATGACTTTAAATCCCTTATTCTTTCCCCAGATGTCTTGAATTTCAAAAATTATTCTAAATTAGAATTACACCACCCATAGGATTCCCAGATATGCAAATATAGGTGCCCAGCTCAATGTGACTTTCAAATAAATAATGAACAACTTTTTAACACAAGTGTGTCCTATGTAATACAAGTATGTCATGCATTTGACTAGAAGTCTTGTATTTTATCAGGTAACCCAAAACATGCGAGTAATCAGAGCAAGTTCGCCAGGTAATCTTCAGTCTGCAGTCTGGGGATTTTTGCTGTGAGAAGTCCCTCAAACTCACACTTTCCAAGTACATACAAACCCACTATTTGGCATACCTCCCATCTGTTTTGAAAAATCATCCCAGGAGAATATCACAAGATAGATAGATAATCCTACAACACAGAGGGGCAAAGATACAAGAAGAGAAGACTACAACTCTCGGCTATATGAAAGAGGAAGGGTTCCCATCATACAAGTTGGAAAAAAATAGTCTGCAAATTAGCAGGCACTTCCTATTTCCTCCAAAAATGAACTAGACAAGCCCTACTACGGAATCACATGGTAAACAAGAGAGTCATGAATAGCAGACAACTGAGAACAACATGTGTGATCTAAAATCTCCCAAATATCTGTGGCTCTCTGTCTCCCTGTAAGGTGTTCTCTGGTCATCAGTTCTCCTTGTTTTCTACCTATAACCATTATGCATGAGGATGGTTTCTGTGCCGAGATTTCTTGGGGATAATTAGTAGGAAAGGAACTTGCCTGACTCACTCTCTCTCTCAATATCCTGGTAGCGCTGAACAAAATCTCCCACCTCTTCCTTGGAAAAAAGATCAGGTTCCACAAAACTGAGGAGGGAGTACAGCTCCTGGAGGCTGTTCTGGATGGGAGTTCCAGTCAACAGGAGACTGAAGACTACTGAGAACTCAAATACAGAAATAAATAAAATAAAATTCCGTAACACTGGAAGGCAAGGCTGAGTTACCCAACACAATCTTTACCCGTACAGAGAAAGGCATGATTTAATGGAATGACCAACGGGACATCAAATCAGATGGCTCAGGTTCAAGCCACATACTAGCTGTTTGATGCAGGAAATAATACCTCTTCAGTTTCAACCATAAGAAGGGGATAATAATCCTGTGAAGAAAATACTGTTATAAGAATATAATAACACGTGTGAACTCTGAAGTACTGCATGAGTATTTAATATGGCTATTATTCAATTTATGTGGGGATTCAAACTATGTGTTACTGCCTGTGTAGGGGAGTCTACTGAGGTATCCGAGACACAATGCACACGCTCATGCAGTTTGAGAACCCAATGCTATAGCATCAGGCCCCACCACTGCAAGCAAGAAGCAAGATTTATCATAGGAGACGGTCCTTTTATAAAACCTAATGGTAGATGAGATGCAAGATGTCAAGATTTCTGGATGTTTCTAGACATAGGAACATAGAGAGTCTCAAATGGAAAAACGTTTCTTTAAATTTTGAACAACAGAGAAGAACACCCAGAGTAAGAGACAGAAGAAGTAGAAGGTCAGGAAAAAGAAGAAAAGATATTAGGTCAAGCAAAAGATATCCTCTAAACTGACATCCACAAGAACTTACACTAGGAGAAATAATACAGCAAAATGGGGAAGCCACATCTTGACATCTTGAGCATGTGTATCTTTTTTCTTTTTTTTCTTTTTTTGAGATAAGGTCTTGCTCTATTACCCAGGCTGGAGTACAGTGGCATGATCTTGGCTCACTGTAACCTCCTCCTTCAGCCTCACCGGTAGCTGAAGCTATAGGTACCTACCACACTCAGCTAATTTCTTTATTTTTTTGTAAGACAAGGTCTCACTATATCGCCCAGGCTGCTCTTGAACTCATGGGCTCAAGTGATTTTCCTGCCTCGGCCTCCCAAAGTGCTGGGATTACATGTGTAAGCCACCACACCTGGCATGTTTTAAATGTCAAAATACAGTATGTAAATGCATATATATATGTATGACATGTGTATATATATGCACATATACACATACACATATATATGCACATATATACACAAGTATACTGTATTTTGATATTTTAAATAATATACATTTTGACTTTTTAAATATATATGCATATGGCCGGGCGCGGTGGCTCAAGCCTGTAATCCCAGCACTTTGGGAGGTCGAGGCGGGTGGATCACCAGGTCAAGAGATCGAGACCATCCTGGTCAAGATGGTGAAACCCCGTCTCTACTAAAAATACAAAAAATTAGCTGGGCACGGTGGTGCGTGCCTGTAATCCCAGCTACTCAGGAGGCTGAGGCAGGAGAATTGCCTGAACCCAGGAGGCGGAGGTTGCGGTGAGCCGAGATCGCG